AGTCCTGCGGGAGTCCGCGGGGGGGGAGGAGCCGCCGGAGGGGGGGCGGGGCTTCGCCGAGGCTTCCCCACGGGGGCCGCCCTTCGCCCCGTGCTTGTCAGTCCCCTCGCGCCGCCCCCACCCTAAGCGCCAGACCTCCCCCAGGCCCGGCAGGGGGGCCGGCCCTCTCTCCCCTGGCCCGAGCCCTTCCCCCTGGCCTCTGGGCGGGGACTGCTCCTGGGTCCGGCGGCGGCGGCGGCGCCTGGCTTCCTTCCGGGCCAGGGCAGTGCAGCCGTTCTGCCGCCCCATACAAACAAACGGCTTTTCCTATGGCGCTGCGTGCGGAATGGCCAGGGGGGGATCCTCCGAAGTCTGCCCGGCAAGGACCAGTCCCAGCAGGCCTTTCAGCCTTGTGCACCGCCAGGTGGCGAGCTAGACTTGCGTCTTTTAAGGCAAGAGACGTCTCAGAGGCGGGCGGCTCTGGCCTGGCCTGCCCCTGGCCTGCCGACCGCTGGTGTTCCTCGGAGGTCTCCCATCCAAACACCAGCCACCAGGGCCGACCCCGCTGAGCTTCCGAGACGACCTGACGGGATCGGGCTAGCCCACCGCCATCTATAGGGAGTGGTGGCTAGCCTGGCCTCTCCAGGTCGGGGCACTGCCTCCCCCAACAGGCTACGAACCACCCCGGATCAGGCACCGCCCCACCCCCCCCGCCGGTAGCCTAAACACCCGCCCTCTCCGCTCCTCCCTCGCGGGGCGGCCTAGTCGGCAGAGAAGACCCCCGGCGGGAGCGGAGAGGCGCGGGGAGGAGGCGAGGCCGCAGCAGAGTCCGGAGACCCAGGGGGCGGGGCGGGGGCGGCCGCGGGCTGGGACTCCGTCGGGAGGGTAGCCCGGTCCGTCCTCTCTCTCCGCGGCGGAGGCCCGGCGGCGCGGGAATGCCAATGCCGCTGCTAGGCTGAGGGGGTCTCCCTGGAGGAGGAGGAGGGGGAGGCGGGCCCCGCAGCCCCCCCCTCCGGCCTGCGTCCGATGGCTTGCGCGCTCTCGCTCTCTCTCCCCCTCTCTGGCTGGCTCAGATCAAGGCGGGCCACTTCGACGAGCGCTACGTGCTGTCCTCGCGGGTGCGGACGGGACGGAGCATCCGCGGCCTGAGCATGCCGCCGGCCTGCACGCGGGCTGAACGCCGGGAGGTGGAGCGGGTGGCCAGCGACGCCCTGGGCGGCCTGGCCGGGGACCTGGCCGGCAAGTACTACCGCCTCAGCGACATGACCGAGAAGGAGCAGCAGCAGCTCATCGACGTGAGTGGGGGCGGGACGCCGGCGGGGGCGGCGGCGGCGGCGCGGGGCGGAGGGAGGGAGGGAAGCAGGCCCCTTCCCAGGGCCGGACCCCCTCGGCAGGCAGCCGGCCCCTCGGGCCCCGTCGGAGCTCCATCTCCCTGGACCTGCGGGGGGGGGGAGGGGGAGGGGTTAGGGTCTGCCCAGGCCCAGGAGGCCCCCTGGCGGCGGAGGCTCCCGCGTCTCCGGCAGAGGAAGCGCGCCTGCTGCCCAGGGCACCTGCTCCCTCCCCTCCCGGCCATGCCAGGGGCCCAAGGGCGGCGCTGCTGCTTCCGGCCAAGTCACCCGGCTGCCCCCCCCCAACCCTGCCCAGGGCACCTGCTCCCTCCCCTCCCGGCCATGCCAGGGGCCCAAGGGCGGCGCTGCTGCTTCCGGCCAAGTCACCCGGCTGCCCCCCCCCAACCC